CATGTAATTAAAATACCATTATACTGAACCAAGTGATCATTTATGATGATTATATTAAACAGTAATAAGATCTATGAGTTTTATTAATTATTATTATCTAATTATTATCATCGTGACTTGAATTGTCCTCCTCCTGGGATGGAACAGCAGCAGATATGGATATGATCTTGAGCAGACATCGTGGCTCCTAGGGTTACTCTGTGGATTTAAAAGTACTGTTTGACCCAGCTTGACCCAGCTGGGTAGATATGCCCTTTACCACTAATTAGAGGACCTTCGGTGACGCTACACTATTTTTTGTTCATCTTAAATATATTTTTAACCATTGTCTAAATTCTTTTTTATATTTTTACATTTTTGGTTTTTGTGAAGCGCCTCATGATTTTTATCTTGAGAGGCGCTATAGAAATTATATTTTCTTCTTCTTCTTCTACTGCAAGGACTGAGAAAACCGGACAGGTACCTTCTGCTAATACTGCTCGCAGGGGAAAAGAAAGCTATAACTCGCAAATGGTTGAAGGCGGAGCCTCCAACATTGCTGGACTGGATTGACATTATTAATGAAATATATGTGGTAGAGAGACTTACTTTCTCACTAACACTTGCAGCTGATGAATGTCAGAAATACTGGAAAAATATAACCTGTATCTGACTCAGACGGCACTGTAATGTCAAAGCAAACGCATAAAAGATTTCCACCTTCTCCGGAATCTGTGAGGCCCTAACAACATTTTGTGACTTGTTTTAGATGCTCTGTACACTGTTGAGTGAGGTCTGTATGTTCTATATGTTTGTTCCTTTTTCTTGCTTCTTTCTAACATAAAACTATCATTAAAAAGAAAGTATGAAGAAAAAAACCTTTTGTATTTCGGTATGTGGAGTAAGACTGTGGAATAGGATGGAGGGGACACTAATGAAAAGTTTTACTATGATTCTGTTTAAAAATAAATACAAAAACAATATTTATTCCAGGTACAAAATTGAGGAGGGTATTTCAGTTTGACAGTCTGTGTTTTAATTAATTACTATTGGTATATTAACAAGGACATTATTATAATATAATTAAAAGGACAGGCATAAATGTAAGCATTTTGCTTCTGCCTGAGCCTTTTCAGTCACTTTGAAGGTAATGATTTATTATTTATGATTATATTATGTTTTGTTATATTTCTGACTGAATAAATCGAAAATAACAGTGTTTCTGTCTTAAACCTGCTTTACAGATTGGGGGCCAGAAGTGGCCCCTGGATAATCTTTGTTTTGCCCTTGTAATGTAGCAAGTCCATTACACAGGCTTTGTTTGGTTTTGTATGATAAATGAAACCAGACACAATAACAATTGTTTTAATGTTTATTTTAAAAAAGGTAAAGAGTGTAGACCTGTAAGAAGAAGAGTGGGTATGATTATTGAATATAGTTTATGATTTTTGTTGTACTTGCCTGTTTCCTTTGTGCTTCTGGAGGTGTTCCAGCTAAAAGAGTCCCTGGGGAGCTGGAGCACCTAAAGAAGGTTCCGGAGCATTCCATTCAGGATGAATAGGAGGGATGACCTGTGAAATTATTCTAGGGAATGTGGATTAGTTTCACTGAATGTTTTTAGGATTGATTAACCCTCCCACTGTCCTAATGGGTGTGACACCACAAGGAAAGTTGACCATAGAGCAGGGTTGATGGTTTATCCCTTGAGGTCCGTGTGGCAGGGGTGAAGTGGTGCTCACTCCTCACCCCTGCCACATGGACCTCAAGGGATAAACCATCGATCCTGCTCAATGGTCAACTTTCCTCGCGGGTTCACACCCATAAAGACAGTGGGAGATTTAAGGATATTTCTATTTTTGTATTATAATTTTTGAAGAAATCTTATTGATGATGAGTTAAGGATGATTTAAGAATATTGAAAGGTTGTATTTTTGTACTTACCTGTGTCTGGGTTTTAGGATCAGTCCAATTAGTCACACCTGTAATAAATACAGCTCTGTGTTTGTTGGAGATAGCTAGAGATGGATGGAGCAGCATGTATGGATTTTTGCTGCCTAGCTTTTAACTTGTAAAAATGTAAATAAATGCACTTGGGTCTGCACTAGACATCGGCCTCCTCAGTATCACTTTATCCTCCGGAGCGCATTAGGGTTATCCTGAAAAGTGCCCTAGGTGCCACAGCCCTCAAGAAGCTCAAATAAAACCAAAAAGAACTTCAGTCAACAAGAAAACAGCATTTCAACTATGAATCTTAACGTAGCTGAAGTCAAAATTCCAATTCAAAGCATAAATCTCAAAGAGCATTGAATGAAGTAGCATAAAATCAGAATGACATTCTGTGGTCGAATTTGGTTTCTGCAGTTCATTTTTTCAAAACCAAATGCTTTCTCACTGCCGCTCTGAATTTCAGCTGAGGATCAGCACCAGAAGATTCTAGATGATGGGCGAAGACGAGGCGTATAAGTAGATAAGTAGAGAAATGCATCACACTGTAATATCAAGTTGTTGTTAAATGAATAAGTGTCTTGAAATTTTTCTAGAGTTGACTATTTGTTTTTAATTCACCGTTGTTAACCTTCTTCACCTGATATTAGAATAAAACAAAAGGAAGTTGTTGCTTCTTAGGCTGGGAAGATACTTGCTTTTAACCCTCACGTTGGTGCAGGCACCAGGCTTAGTCTTGTTCAGACTTGCTGCTGCACTGCACGTAGTACCGGAGGGTTCCACTAGGGGGCACAGTAAAGAATTCAGACCATATGGAGTGTACAACCAAAATAAACATGATGTCAATACAAGAGATCTAGTTAATTCTGAGATCTCGACAGAAAACAAAAACAGCAGCGGCATCAGATAGTATGAAAGACGTCTAAACCAGAGACGGCGTTACAAGGCCAACTCCCATATCGGTTACTCGCATATTGCAGCTTGCAAATGCATCATGTTAGTTTCAGAGGACACGTACAAACGATGCTTCAGGTGCAAATTACGTGAGGCAGCCCTTTTACATGTGTATTTTAAACCAAATACCAGCCCTAACTTCTGGGTCGCTCCCCTTACCGTAACATATTGTCTGCAACTCTGCAGCTTTTTTCTAACCAGTGTCAGATTACAAACTGGCGCTGGAACGTTAGCTGGCGCAGACTCAGTAACTCCAGCGTGGGTTCACAGATCGTAAACAATAACTATGTTATTCTTTAGTATTTTTGAAACGACATAAACTTGCAACCCCCTAGCTTTGCAACAAAATGTAGAATTCCTACATATTATCCCATTAAACTTTTCAACTGAAAGAATGCAGAGAGGATTTCTGAACAAGCTGGATGCTCACAAACACTTTGGCTGTCAGGTTCATGAATGAAATCTGTTTTCTGTACCTGTTGAAAGTCAGAGTTGTTTTTCTAAACAAATAATAATCCTCCAGATGTGCTTCAAGTCTTCTTAAAACAACAACAATTTTTAGTGTTTTCTCTGTAGGGGTCCTCTGCCCCAGGGGCGGTGGTCGACTGAGCGCCCCTGACTTAGTGTGGAAGACCTGATGCTGCCGGGGCAGACGGCATATGTTTGTTAATAATTTTAAACTGTTTGGGAATTTGGGGTCATTTTAATTCTGTAAAGCACTTTGAGTACCACTTTGCTTGAAAAGCGCTTTATAAATAAAATCTGATTGATTGATTGATTGATTGATTGATTGATTGATTGATTGATTGATTGATCGATCGATCGATCGATCAATCAATCTGCATCTGGGGACTAAAAATCTCTTCACTTCCTCCCACCCACCTGACAAAAATATTCCTTCTAAATATTTTACTATTTTTATTTGATCATTGCTAATAATATCTTCTGTTCTGAATCAGTAAACAAAATCAATTCAAATTCGTAGCTTCAAGCTGATAAATATCACACACACACACACACACACACACGCGCGCGCACACACACACACACACACACACAAACACACACACACACACACACACACACACACACACACACACACACACACACACACACACACACACACACACACACACAGCCCTCTTGCTGTCCCCAGCCTCGGTTGCCTTGGAGACAGCTGAGATGGGGACCCCATCTCATTACATGCCAACAGGGTTGTGAGTGGCTGGAGGAGGGTGTGTGGGATCTTTATCGCCATCTAGCGGCCAAATCTAAGTATGAGCTTCTTTAAAAATGTATTTTAATCAACGTGGATTCTGCCTGGTAACACAATATGCTGACATCTCTGGATGCAGACAGCCGGCTCAGAATTTCTAATGAGACCCTTCATCCTGTGAGACTTCACAGCAAGAGACGATGAAAAGTTAAAGTGGGCTTTTAGTCGACTAATAGCTCACCCGCAGAAGGGAAATGGGTTGTGAAAGTGGAAAGGAAACATTTTATCAGGACACCTTGAAGTTTAAAGCACCAGTTAACTATTCCACAAACATGATGGTATTTTACAGGGAAAAGCTTCAGATTAGCAATAATGATGTTATATCAGCAATATATATGCTGCATGCTCTGGGGTAATTACCTTGTGTGGATAAAAGATAAGGGCTTCAATATTTATCATGGATATCTGAAAATACAACTATAAATGGTAAAAATATAATTTTTTCCACAAAATTTGCTTCCATGAAACTGTTTCGGTATTTTTAAATTAAATAAATTGTGTTCTAAACATATGAAATTTTTACTGAAATATAATCACTTTGATGTTTTTTTTTCATTAAATAAAAACATAGAAAAGTAAAAATAAATAAAATTATCTATCTGGTTTTAATCATTCCAACGGGTTAGCATCCAATTCATTAGCACAAATACTCGTTTGTTCATGGGATGATGGATTAAAAAAAATCAAGAACAATTTTAAAAGGTTAAAAAGTTCCATTACATGAGGAAAATGTGCTAAAAACACAGAATTCACATATCTGGTTTTAAAATAAATTGTACAACCGAATGAATGATCTGTATAACTTCTTCACTTATAACATTTAAATGAGCGACCCAAGACCGCAGAACACAGGAATATATTATAGTTTATTCATTCTAGCTGATGTGTTGCTTTGAATATTAAAAACATCAAGTAAAAATGGCCACACATGTATTTATATATTTATACACAGCAGCAGAAGCAGGAGGTTTGGGCTGAATTCAGCAGGACGCTGTTGTGCTTTTCGACTCTACGCGGCTGGGAACAACGATTAAAACAAACCGTGTGCTGCAGCCGCTGCACATGATATGAAATAAGTATTCAGGAAGTTTCTAGCAGTATTCCTAACAAACTTGATGATCCTAAAGAGAGGAAGGTGTTCACGTTCAGGGCAGGAAAACCAGCGGTTATGTCCACAGATGAATTTACAAACGTATTCCCCAGATGTGTTCCTAAATGAATTCTAGCACCAAATGATAATCTAAAAAAAAATGTGTAAAATGGCAAACTGTTCTCACCCCGACTAAAATACAACATATATTCATTTTTGCATCTAAAAACTGTGATATTCCACTTTATCTCATTATTACCTAAAAGTGTGCAGTTGAGAATAAAGCAATTATTAGTGTTTTCTCTGTAGGGTTGTGTTTCACAATCGATATAATTAATGCTTCATGTAAAACCGCATCTCTCAGACGATTCATCACCTGTGAAACATTCTTCTTGTCTGCAGGATGGCCTGCTGTCAACCCCATCCAAAGCATAGTCTTGTCATTTAAAGTAGATATAGGCAACGGTGATCAGAGCAACAGGCCCAGAAGACACCACATTTGTGACAAACAGGAATGTACAAATAAAAGAGAAACATCAGGAAATAAAGTTTTCTCGTGGCAACAGAAGAGGATGTTTACAGTTGAGTTGTGGCTCTTTAAACTACTTGTCGTTCCTAAAAGAAATCATCATGTAACCGTGATGTGGTGGTGATCCATCTGTAAACATTCTCGGTTCTAGGCCTCTGATTCAGATTGATCGGTGGTGATGCTGCCGTTCAGCTCCCCCAGTCCTGTCTGCTCCTGGATGTCCGTCATCTCCCCGACCGTGAAGATCGGCTCGCCTGCTTTGCTGTTGGCTGAGCTGCTGTCCGCCTGCTTGGGCGTTTGCTCTGCCAGAGTGGGCTCCTCATCCAGCCTGCTGGAGATGGACCAGTACAGGTGAGCGTCGAGCCGGGCCGCAGCCAAAGCCAGCTCTCGCGCTGAGCAGGAGGGTGTGTCCACCTTAGGAGGTGTAGAGAGATTAAGGTTTGATGAGTCATATAACCATCAGCACAGAAAATCATCTCATTATATCACTGAATTGTTATATTTTATATTGGATGAATTGGTCCCACTCCAACTATCCGTTTGATTTGGTTTGGTTATGTAGCAGGTTCAGGAGGAAAACCCAGATTCCCTTCTGTCCTGAAGCATTCCCAGAAAAGAAGGGACATAATCCCTCCGGGGAGCTCCAGTTATTCTACATGTACATCTTCTCACATGGAGGCAAGGCATTCAGTATCTGAAGCACCTCACTGATTTTACTAAGAAGATCAGTTCTACTCCTAAGACTTGTTTTCCTGGTCCTAGGGTGGTGCTTTTGGCCCATTGTGTATCTACTGCACAAAAAGGATTTTCAGTCCGCATGGTTCCTCCTTGTGAATCTCGTTTAAGTGGACCCTTGTGGGCGACGGTGGCACAGGAGTTAAGTATTCGCCCCGTAATCTGAAGGTGGCAGGTTCGAGCCCTGCTCAGTTTGTCACTGTCGTTGTGTCCTGGAGCAAGACACTAAACCCCCCTTGCCGGTGGTGGAGGTCGGAGGGATGGGTGGCACCAGTAGTGCTAGGCAGCCTCACCTCTGTCAGTGCGCCCCAAGGCAGCTGTAGCTACACCGTAGCTCATCCCCACTAGCGTGTGAATGTGTGTGAATTACTGATTGTGTTGTAAAACACCTTGGGGGGTTCCAGGACTCTAGAAGGCGCTATATCAAATACTGGCTATTTTACCATTTACCCTTAACCACAAGTCATAAGCATTCCCAAAAGTCTCAAGATTCTGCCTAGATCATGTGTTAATCCCCTAAGCGCTGCCTCGCCCACGCCATGGACAAGGCCTTCCTCTCCAATGTGTCAGTCATCAACAAGCTGCTGCAAAGGTTCTAGACTAATTGGAAAATTAGTTGTTATGACGACTCGGATGACTCTGATGTGGCAGAAAACAACCTAACAATTTCGCTACAACCCAGCGTTTTTCCCTTTTCGTGAATTTTGCATGATTTTTTTAGAAATCCATCAAAGTCTGTTTTTTATCATGCACTGTGATATACAGGTGCTGGCCAGTAAATTAGAATATCATCAAAAGGTTGAAAATATTTCAGTAATTCCATTCAAAACGTGAAACTTGTACATTATATTCATGCAATGCACACAGACCAATGTATTTCCAATGTTCATTACATTTAAATTTGATATTCATAAGTGACAACTAATGAAAACTCCAAATTTGGTATCTCAAAAAATTAGAATATTCTGAAAAGGCTGAATATAGAAGACACCTGCTGCCACTCTAATCAGCTGATTTACTCAAAACACCTGCAAAGGCCTTTAAAAGGTCCCTCAGTCTTGTTTTGAAGGCACCACAATCATGGGGAAGACTTCTGACTTAACAGCTGTCCAAAAGACAATCATTGACACCTTGCACAAGGAGGGCAAGACACAAAAGGTGATTGCTAAAGAAGCTGGCTGTTCGCAGAGCTCTGTGTCCAAGCACATTAACAGACAGGCGAAGGGACGGAAAAAATGTGGTAGAAAAAAGTGTACAAGCTCTAGGGATAACCGCACCCTGCAGAGAATTGTGACGACAAACCCATTCAAAAATGTGGGGGAGATCCACAAAGAGTGGACTGCAGCTGGAGTCAGCGCTTCAAGAACCACCACGAGGAGACTCATGAAAGACATGGGATTCAGGTGTCGCATTCCGTGTGTCAAGCCACTCTTGAACATGAAACAGCGCAAGAAGCGTCTCGCCTGGGCCAAGGACAAAAAGGACTGGACTGATGCTGAGTGGTCCAAAGTTATGTTTTCTGATGAAAGCAAGTTCTGCATTTCCTTTGGAAATCAAGGACCCAGAGTCTGGAGGAAGAGCGGAGAAGCACAGAATCCACGTTGCATGAGGTCCAGTGTAAAGTTTCCACCGTCAGTGATGGTGTGGGGTGCCATGTCATCTGCCGGTGTTGGCCCACTCTGTTTCCTGAGGTCCAGGGTCAATGCAGCCGTCTACCAGGAAGTTTTAGAGCACTTCATGCTTCCTGCTGCTGACCAACTTTATGGGGATGCAGACTTCACCTTTCAACAGGACTTGGCACCTGCACACAGTGCCAAAACCACCAGCACCTGGTTCAAGGACCATGGTATCCCTGTCCTTGATTGGCCAGCAAACTCGCCTGACCTTAACCCCATAGAAAATCTATGGGGTATTGTGAAGCGGAGGATGCAATACGCTAGACCCAACAATGCAGAGGAGCTGAAGACGACTATCAGAGCAACCTGGGCTCTCATAACACCTGAGCAGTGCCACAGACTGATCGAGTCCATGCCACGCCGCATTACTGCAGTTATTGAGGCAAAAGGAGCCCCGACTAAGTATTGAGTGCTATACATGCACATTCTTTTCATGTTCATTCTTTTCCATTGGCCAACATTAGAGAAACAAACATTTTTTCATTGGCCTTTAGAATATTCTAATTTTCTGAGATACCAGATTTGATGTTTTCATTGGTTGTCACCTATAAATATCAAAATTAAACGTAATAAACATCGGAAATACATTGGTCTGTGTGCATTGCATGAATATAATGTACAAGTTTCACGTTTTGAATGGAATTACTGAAATATTTTCAACCTTTTGATGATATTCTAATTTACTGGCCAGCACCTGTAATGTAGACAATGTGTATTTTTTATGCTAAGCCCGCCCAGCCATAAATACGGAAGTGGAAATCATGGCTTAAGGTGCGATGCATTTGTCAGCCACTAGATGGTACCATTGGATTAAAAGTACTCCAGACTGTAGCTTTAAGCAGATAGATGTAATCAAACACGAAAGACAAAGGAACATGACACAGGTCAACATTCTGAAATCACGCTAATTATCTAACAATTTCCAGGGTGGAAATTAACCCTAGAAAACATTTGAGATTTCCTGAAACTTCCAGGATGATGGAGGAGCAGCAAATGCTTCTGATTTGTTGCATATCCCGGCATTCCTAGTGACTCTCCCTTTGAATGTTGCACATGGGTGTAATGAGGGAGCTTTCTGACAGACTGTAGCATTCCTTTAGCTGAATCTACCCTGTAGCTCATAACTTGGTGAAAATGCAATAAGAAAGGAAACAAACTCTTGTGATTTTATAGCCTAGAAATCCGGACCAGCTGTAGGAGGAGCAACAAGATTTTAACCTGCAGGTCGGTCTAGACACGCTCCATTGTGGCTTCTGCAGGTCTACCGTTGGCCTGAAGAACTTTAGGTCTGTCCAATCAGAGCCCTCAAACTTTGTAAAGATATATTTAGTGGGCTTAGTGCCAGAGCTGCAATGGAGAAAAACTACAAAGATGGTGTCGGCTCAGGAACAGCACTCGTTTGAAACGGCTTTGGCATCAACTTTAGACTTCAGCTTGTCTTTGAGACATGTGCAGATGGAGGTAAGCCTTTGATAGTGTATTGGAGACTGCTCCATTGACTGGTTTCCATAGTGATTAATACGTCACTTTGTTTGTTGCTCTGATTGTTGCTCTGATTTGTCCTGGCACAGTCCAGTGGTGTGCAAAGACAATTAGAATGACAACCAGACACACTGATCAATCTACTCTTTTTTTTTCTCCAACTATCAGAAAGGAACCAAAAGGCCTCACATCCCCAAATGGTTACCAGAAGCTCACGCTCAGACCATAAGGAGCATCATTAAAGCTTCTTATTAGGAACCATGGTCTGGAAAGAGCTGTCCCTTCCAAAGGGGGCCAGACATGGCTGCCAGGTCGTGTTTTTCCTGCAAGCTCCTTGTTTAATCCTTTCTCTAAAACTCTCTGGTCAACAGCCGACATAGTTTCTTTTGCATCACCAGTTTCCTCCATTCTTATTTATAGGTGAGGAAGGATGCTCGGTTGCTTAGCAACCATGACAGCTGCAGTTAGTTCACAATCAGGACACAGACAAATACATCTCATTTCTTTTGGATGCGATGCCATATAGTTCCAAAGGTTAGAGTGACAACTAACTGGTAAATTACTAGCTGTGTTTCATGAGCAAATCCTATTACAACCTCTAAAAGAATATTGTAATAATGATGTGACCATTTAAAAATGAGATGTGAAGCAACAGAATAAATTTAAAGCCTCACTCACAGAATTCATAAGAAACTTGAGCTTTAATCTCATCATATTTTAGCATCTAAGGCTAAGAAATGTTTACTGGTTTAAATTCTTCAGGAAGAGTTCCTTCATTTCCCAGCATGCCTTTCAGTAACCTCAGGGGACCGAGAGAATCCAGCTCTTGGTTATGCATGTAGGTGGGGACAGGAATAGGGCAAAAAGACAAGTTGTTCCAGTTTTCTTCCATGAAAAATTGGTTTCCAGTCTTCTCTTCCCTTTTCAGAGGGTGGAAAACATTTACCTCTGATTTGAAAATGTTATTTCCAACTCAAAACTGTGCTCTGTTTTTGATGACAGAATGCAAATGAAATGACTCTAAAAGTCGGCTGCAGATCTATCACAAGGAAAACTACCTCAAACGTGTGATGAAAAGCTCCGTAGTCGACGTCAAAGAAGCCTTCGGCCAGTGACATCATGGGGCTGAACCTGTGACCCCACAACACCTCCTCCGCCAGATAGGAACTCCTCGCTTGACACGTCATCCCTGCACACAGAAAACAAACCCACAAGCCCCCCAGACAAGCAGAGATAAACAGGATTTAATGTTTTTGGTGGCAAAACCAAACTCTGAGGTGAAATGCTTGGTGTGAAAAGTCTCTGTAGGAGAGTTCTGACCGGGAGCTGCCTGATTGTAACAAAGCCTCTGACTAAAGGAATCAATATTTGGAGTAGGCAGAGAGGTCACCTTTACCTCATGAACACCGAGCACGAACAGCTTTCAAACACAACAGGAAATATTATATCTTCCCCTTAGAATGGTGAAAGAGGTGGCGAATGCAGATTAGAAATGAAGTCTTTCCACACTACTTTTTTTTATTTAGAATTACGAAAATCTAAACATGCTGCAACGTTTGGGTTTAATTAACATAATACATTTGTTTATAGGTTAACCATTTCTAATAATATATATATACTTATATATACGTATATATATGTGTATATATATATATATATATATATATATATATATATATATACATATATATATATACATATATATATATATATATATATATATATATATATATATGATGTTTATGTTTATGTATTTAGCAGACGCTTTTGTCCAAAGTGACTTACAAGTGATAATCGGCGTGTTGCCCTTGAGGCAACAACTTGACATCAATCATAGAGAGGAGGGAACAAGGAGTGGACAGTAGAGAGGGGGGACGGGTGCAGGGAGGGTGCTAGTTTAGAAGATGGTCTCTGAAGAGCAGGGTCTTCAGGAGTTTCTTGAAAATTGAAAAGGAAGCCCCTGTTCTGATAGTGCTTGGTAGGTCATTCCACATTTGTGGAACGAGGCATGAGAAAAGTCTGGATTGTCCTGAGTGTGGTGTAGGCACTGCTAGCCGACGATTCTGTGATGACCGGAGCGGCCAGGCCGAGACGTAAGCCTTTGCAAGAGGATTCAGATAGATGGGAGCGGTACCATCTCGGACTTTGTATGCTAGTGTTAGCAATTTGACTTTGATGCGTGCTGCTAGTGGTAGCCAGTGGAGCTCAATGAACAGAGGGGTGACGTGTGCTCTTTTTGGCTGATTGAAGACCAGATGTGCCACTGCGTTCTGGACCATTTGAAGAGGTCTCACAGTACAGGCTGGAAGACCAGTTAGAAAGGCATTGCAGTAGTCGAGGCGGGAGATGACAGTAGATTGCACCAGGAGCTGGGTGGCATGTTGTGTTAGGTATGGTCTGATCTTTCTTATGTTATACAGCGCAAATCGACATGAACGAGCAACAGAGGCAACGTGATCTTTAAAGGTCAGGTGTTCATCAATCACAACGCCCAGACTTTGAACTGCCTTTGAAGGAGCCAGAGATAGGAAGTCATTTTGGATTGAGATATTGTGCTGTATGGATGGTTTTGCTGGGATGACAAGTAATTCAGTTTTAGAGAGGTTGAGTTGGAGATGGTGGGACTTCATCCATTTTGATATGTCAGAGAGACAGTTTGATATTCGTGCAGAGACAGTGTGGTCGTCCGGTGGAAATGACAGATAGAGCTGGGTGTCGTCTGCATAGCAGTGGTAGGAAAAGCCACGTGATCGAATGATCTCACCCAGAGAGGTGGTGTGTATGGCAAAGAGAAGAGGTCCTAGTACAGAGCCCTGGGGGACTCCTGTGGCAAGATGGTGCATGGTAGAGGATTGTGCAAGCCAAGATACACTGAAAGATTGTCCTGTGAGGTACGATTCAAACCAGGCGTGTGCTTTCTCTGTGATGCCCATGCTAGAGAGTGTGGACAAAAGGAAGCCATGGTTGACAGTGTCAAATGCAGCCGATAAGTCAAGCAGGATAAGCACTGAGGATTTGGCAGTCGCTCTAGCTTCTTTTAAGGATTCAGTCACTGCTAACAGAGCAGTTTCAGTGGAGTGGCCCTTTTTGAACCCAGATTGGTCAAGCAGACAGTTTTGTGAGAGGTATTCTGTGATCTGCTTGAAAGCCACCCTTTCAATGATTTTGGACAGAAAAGGAAGGAGAGAGATAGGTCAGTAGTTCTCCACATGATTTGGAGGAAGAGATGATTTTTTAGCAACGGTTTAACCTGAGCATGCTTGAGAGAGGTGGGCAATGTACCAGATGTCAGTGAAGCATTGATCACATGTGTGACTACTGCGGCTACTGTAGGAGCAACAGCTTGGAGCAGCTTAGTCGGAATGGGGTCAAGTGGGCATGTAGTAGGGCGGCTGCACGTGAGATGTTTGGACACAGTTCTCAGTGAGAGGGGAAAAAGAGCAAAATGAAGCAGTAGGGCCTGAGATGGTTGGGCTAGAAGGAGTTTGTGGTAGTGAATGTTCAGGAGTAGCCAGTTGAGTAAACTGTTTGCTTATAGCTGCCACTTTGTCAGTGAAGAATGAGGCAAAGGTGTCATCTGATAGATTGTTGGTAGGAGGTGGAGACGGAGGGTTGAGCAGAGTTTTGAATGTCGAAAATAGTTTCTGAGAGTCAGTAGAGCTGAGAATTTTGTCAGTGTAGAAAGCTTTCTTTGCATCAGTGATGCTGGCAGAGAATGGGGACAGTAATTCATGAAATTTCAATTGATTACCAGGATATTTTGTTTTGCGCCATTTCCATTCCGCAGCTCTAAGATTGGTGCGTAGAGACTGGAGGGTATCATTTAGCCAAGGGTGCGACTGAGAGGATCTAGCAGGTCTAGTGGCTAAAGGGCACAAGTTATTAAGACAAGAGCAGAGTGTGGAGCAGAGTGACTCGGTGGCATCATTCACTTCATAAGCAGAGAATGTGCTGGGAGATGGAAGAGTGGAGGCAACAAGAGAGAAGTGGTTGGGTGCCAGATTGCGGAGGTTGCGGCGGAATGAGACCACTGGGGAGGAAGCAGTGGACCTCCCTTGTAAAGTCGTGCTGAAATTGATGAAGTAATGATCGGAAAGATGCAGCCGTGTGACAGAGATTGTGTCTATGGCACAGTTTCTGGTGAAAATGAGGTCAAGTGCTTTTCCAGCTTTGTGAGTTGGAGGACTTTGTACTAGTTTTAGATCAAATGATGACATTAGTGACAGGAAGCCTGATGAGCTGGGATTGTCCAGGTGAATATTCATGTCTCCAAGGACCTTTGTGGGACAGTCGTGCTCAGGAATGGAGGAGGGCAGGGTGTCGAGTTCATCAAGAAAGTCTCTGAGTTGACCTGGTTGGCGATATATGACAACCAAAAAGAATTTTTTTGGTACAGTTACCTGGATGGCATGGTATTCAATGGAGTTGTATTTAGTGATTGGTAGCAACTCACTGTATATCCATTTGTTGGAAATTAACAGGCCCGTTCCACCACCTCGACCAGATGCACGAGAAATGTGGGAGAAAGTGTGGATGGGGTAGCATTGTCACATGGTTTGATCCAGGTCTCAGTGAGAGCCAGTGCATCGAGTGACAGGTGGTTTGCATGTGCGGTAATGCAGTCTGCTTTGTTTACAGCTGATTGGCAGTTCCACAGTCCCATAGACAGATGGATGTCTTTGGGGGAGTTGGTTTTAGTGAGCGGAGGTTTTGAAGGTTGCAAAAGCAGTTTGCTGTGTGTTACTTTCCTCTGAAGCCAGTGATCACAGGTATAAGATGATGGCGCATTTTGCAAGGTGTCGATGGAGCAGTCTGGGTCGAGTTTGTTTGGTCTGTGTACCTGCTCTGTGGACACGCGCAGGTAGACACGTATGTCTTTACCCCAGAGTGTCTTCACATCGGAGGGGCTGAGACACAAGGGCTGACGCTTCCGCTAACGCTTCAGTTATGCCACCAAACTTATGCTGTGCCACTAGTTGGAAACAGGTGTTCATGCAGCAGCTGATTGCAATGATTGAGACCTAGATCACCTGATGAGTGTCTTCAGGGTGGGGAGAAACATCTCGTTTGCAGCCCCTGATTGCACTTATTGTTTTCAGTTGGCCCATACCGGAGCTACTAGACAACAGGATTACCCACGGATGAGTTTCCTTCTCTTTTCCAAAGGAAGACAGTGCAAAGCAAAAGTTTAAGAAGACAAAAACAAGCACTAACAGACACTCAAGGCCCTTCGGTGCAGATTTAAGTCTGTTTGAAAGTGCTTGCAGTTGATTTTTAAACTTTGCTTCAGATATATATATATATATATATATATATATATATATATATATATATATATATATATATATATATATATAATTACAGTTGTTATTCCAAAAAAAATTAACAACTGTTTTTAAG